TAAGCCTACGCTCTAACCCTAAAATCTTAAGAAATTCCAAATCCACTTACAACAAATATCGATATCGATATATAGAGGATATTTGATACTACGGAACCATAGTTTTAGGGTCGAAGGCCCGGGATTTTCTTGACTCCAGAATATCAGTTACACGGGCATCAATCAATGAAAGAGTATACATCGATATTATGATTTTGGATCATAAGAATGCATACCGATACATGATAAATTACGTTGCTTACACTGGTGTAAACCTGCACGTTCATGCAAAAATAAGACCCAAGATTTGGGCGAACTTTATTAACTTAATAATAAAGATTATAAAATCCATTGTGATTTCGACGACGGACCGTCGCTGAAATTTTGGTCATATGGTTTCGATCATTACAATTCTCTTAATAAAGGGAAGCATTTATAGATCCAAATACAAACCTTGTTGGATAAAACTGAGGCTTGGATCGGTGAAAGCCCAGCACATTCATGCCAAAAAGGAAAGATAATTTCGTTATTAGTAGCAATAAGAACCTAAGATCCCATCAGGCGTGGATATTCATGCTTTATTCATCCCTCTTAGTCTCTGCCCTACACTTCTATTTAATCATAATGATCACATAATGCATCGATATAATATTATTAATAAAGTTCCCCCAAATTTCCAGGTTGTATTTTGCCAATGTAAATATTTAATAGTCGTAATTTAGGTAAATGAGCGGTTGAAATTTAGCTTTTAGCACATATCTCCAATGTTGACTTCATGGTTTGATCAAAAATCTAAAAAGTAGATTTTATAAGGTTATTTTTTCATATCATAATTGAAGAATCAAAAAATACTCACTGCAGAAACAGAAGACATTGGCGTCATAAAAATTTTGACACATGTCTGTAGATTATTTTACTACAGCCATAAGGGTATGTTGAGTATATTATAAAGTCAATGAACACGGCCAGTGTTGAAGCGTATCCATCTGGTCGACCGCAATCATTCGCAGACAGGCTCCCGTATGTTGGTAATAACGCCTCGCTTATCCAGATGAATAACCTCAGTTTTTTCCCGACCTTCAACTTAATACCTAGCAGACGCTTGCGCAGGGGTTGTGATTTTCATATTGATATGAAAACATCCGCAGAATACAAGCGAGTAACCTCAGTTTTTTCTGCTCGAGTAAGCCAGTCCGTGCCGTGTTTTAGGCAAAATAGATGAGCAATCAAAATAAAATTGATCACACGTGATTCTTGTAACAAATATAATGACTCAACACAATTTCAAAATCTTTATCGAAAAATGACCCATAGTAAAACGCGTCGAGAGGAGCAAAGAAGTTATTTGTTGAATCACGCAGATCCTCGTCCGTTGAACTTTTTTTCGAGGTTCAAATATCGTAGTAGTTCAAAGGCTCATCACGAGTACGGAATGAGGCTAAACCAGGCTTTGCAAGAAGCGCCAGATTCTAGGAAGTTATTAAATCTGAGAGGAAAATGGGATAATGACGAATATAGGGATGATTGGGCACGTTATGAAGATTTGCTAGAAGATAGAAAAACCGATGTACATAGTTTTTTTTTTTTACTTGAGCTGATTAAACTGTTATAAAAGCAAAAATCTTTGAATATTCTTTCGGATTCAAATCATGTGATTGAAATTTCAGAAAATTCTTCTAAAATCCGATTACTCGACTTAGCACAATTATTTGATAAAGCAACTAATGCTGAACATTACGCTATGAAAGTTAACCAAGAAGAAACCTTATGCTGGGTTAATTATGGGAAAGAATTCATAATTCAATATAATGATCTTATAAAAAATAATAATAGAAAAATTGGCGAGAAAAAAGCTAAAGGTATAATTTATGACAAAATATTGGAGCACCTTAACATCATCCGTGAAAGGAGGTTCAAGGAAATGGGATTACAGCTCCCAGAAATTCCACGTAAAACTTTATGCAAAAAGACCCAAAAGGCCGTAAGGACTTATAAATTATTTGAAAAAATAGGTATAGATAAAATTATGTATCTTAAAGCATACAGCGCAAATTCTATCTCAGAATTGACTAATGAACAAATTCAAAAGATTGTTGATAATATTTCCAATAATGAGTCTAATATAGAAAGTCACATGACTGAAATTTTGACAATGGCCGTCACCAAAATCATGTAACCAAAATTTTGCCTAAGGTAAGTCCATCTACCAAACCTCAAATCTCTAACACTTCTGTGAGAACCAAGATCTTACCAGAAGCCAAGGTAAGTATACTACCTGTATTTCATCCTGAAAAGGCTCTATTGGAAACTGAGATAAATGCATTATCTGCATCTCAACCCAAGAAAGATTTATCAAAAGCAGAGATAAATGTGTTATTCATGCCTCAACCCAAAACAAAGACCTTACCTAGAAAACCAAATAATCTGACCCATGACCATGCTTATCTTTGCAATAAAATATTGTGGCGATGTTCTGATTTATATAAAGAATTTAATAGTGAAACATTTGATTATTATAGAATTCTTGAGGGATCATTATGCCCAGTATGTAAGAAAAGTTATGAGGAAGGGAAAAGTGTAAAAGGTAGATACAAAGCTAGATCTTATTTTATTATATGTGGAAAGTGCAAAATTGAGATAATGGTATAAATTATAAAATTATCCAAGTATAGCCATTATGTGACAAGTATTTTTGTTTCAAATGTTTGTAAATTAGTTAGGAACATTGCTTTGCAATACTGTATTTGTTTTTTTTTTATAATTGTTATACACAGTGTCAGCACAACTCATAATTTGAATTTGCGATTATATAAAACAATAATATGGATAAAGAAAGTGCCTTAACTCCTGAATATTTGAACTGGCATGCTAAATTGGTTGATTCACCGAGTCATTTGTCAGATAAAATCTGTTTGAGCTTATATAAAGCATATACAGAAGAGACTGGGCTCGATCCTTGGATAAAGTCTGAAACTCCTGAATCCCTACAAATTGAAAAGGATGCTGAAAAAAAGACATTATTTGTACTACAGATAAATGTTTTGTCTATACCATCCAAACTTTGATCATCAATTTCTATTCTACCTAAAGACCCGGAAGAGAAACAAAAACATGTTATTGAAATAGTATTAGAACAATTTCTTTATTTAACTTTGAAACATATTTTAAATCTAGTAATTATTTTGATTTTAATAGACCTGTACCCTGTCCTTTATATGATAAAAACCATAAGAGAGAAAATATAAAAAATCATATAGAAGGTGAATAGGGGAGTGGCAATTATGTCAATACAAAACTTATCATCTCTATTGTTATATAAATAAATATTAGAATTCAATCCCAATAGTAACCATAAAAGCATAGGTTAATAAGTAAAGCCTATTCACACAATCACATTAAAATAAAAGATGGAGAGGCCATAAGACCCCACTTTATTTTATAAAAAAATTATCGAGATGGTATACAAATAAGAAAATAAAAGAAAAAATATATGCTTCTTTGAGGTGCCCTTAATAGACTAGGTTGGTGGGTTTACATTTAATCTAATATATCATTCTGTTTACCAGGATTTACCCAATCATTATCATCATTGTCCCTATCACATTCTAGGTTTTTTTTGACATTTTTCTCCAGGTATCATCATCTAATTTTTAATAAAATAAAAATTTTAGTTCTGATAATAATAACACAGAACAAAATTTACTTACAAGATAAAAATTATCTCAGCTTGTATTGTTTTGATTTAGAATAGTTGGGGGTCTTATTTTTCTTGTTCTTAGAGGTGGTGATTTTTTTGTTACTGCTTATTTTTCATATCTAAATACAAAAAACAAAGTAAGCAAAAATTCATTTTCATAGTCTCCATTAAATAAAATAGCAAATTACTTAAAAATAAATTATGAGCAAGTAGACAAGTAAATTTATATATGAGCAAAAAATAATATTATTGCTAACTTATCTTATGGGTGGGAACTTGCTTATTTTATACTATTCATTTATTAAATCTTAGAACCTACCAAAAAAAAAAGTACATGATTAGTAAGTAATAACAGAATAAAGCAGAATAAAGCAACTCTGCTTGGCTATAAGTTCTAAATACTAGGTTTATTTTGTTATTTTTCTGGTAAAATTAACACCCCTTAGATTTAACGATCATTTCTGTGAAGTGAAAAAAGTCAACGATCTTGACGAACTGGGAATTCCAAGTCTCCCATGACATATAAATTTGGATAAAACTACTGATAAGGAACATTATATTTATTACCCTTATAGCCTTTTTAAGCCTCATTCTTATTGCAGGATGGTATAGGTCTAGACATTATTTGCATTATTCATAATATTTGTTATTAATAAAAATTAATCATGGGAATTAATCCTGCAAGAGAGTGACACAAACCAATTCCTAATTTTATATGACTTATAATATTGTAATGCAATAAAAAGATTTTTAAATTATTCTCACTATGTATGTATATTAAAAGGTCATAAACTACTGTTAAGCCACTGTTGAAGTGCTGTTGGCTTTTTCTTAATAAACATATATAAAATCACTAAACCACTATACATGCAGAAGTTCTATGACTTTTGATTTTCTTCTGTGATATGTTAATTGAACATTTGTATTATAGAATCAATTTTATTACTAGGTATATCAGACATTTTTTTGAGACATTATTTTTTATTTTTTTTGGATAAAATTTTAGCAACCTAAAGTTACTTTCCAAAAAATACAAGATGCTATCACATAATTAAAAAAATATCAAAAATTAGCAATATATCTACATGTATATAGCAGGCTCATAGAGCAACTCGAAAAGTCATAACTATACTATTTTTATTAAATAAATTGATCGAGAATCTTTATCTTTCCTCTTCATTTATTGATTCCATATAGAAGAGTAGTTGACTATCTATATCATACATAATGGCATCACTCTCATTTCGTAATAAGGATAAATTTAGCAAATTAGGTATTAGATTACTGCCAGAGACAGCTGCTTCGTGGTTAGAACTGTCTTGGCTCTAATTATTAGTTTGTGCTTCATCTGTAGCCCGTGAGTAAGGTGGTGGTTGAGGAGATAATGTTTCAATTGAAGGCAGGGGAATGCCAATATTTTGCTTAGAAACAGGGTTGTTTATATTAGCGTTATCATGGGATGAAGTGGAATATAGTGAATGTCTTTGACTCCTTCTACTAATAATAGATGGAGACCGGTTTATTCATCTAATGAAAGATCCCATACTCAATACATACTCAACTTTCTCAATAGATGATACTGGTGTTGTATTTCCTACATCTCTATTCTGGCTATGGTTTGAGGTATTAAGACTATGGATTCTATCGAATTCATCTTTCCAGAAATGCGTACAAAACTCATCAAAGTATTGCATACCTATTCAATTTCTATATGCTTTATGACTACCTGATATATATTCACACATTACCTAATTGAGTAATTAAATCTTGTTAATAGGAGCCAAATAAAAAAAAAATTCTTTATCTCTTAAATGATAAGAAAAAAAAAGAGAAACTATTTAAGAAATGCTAAGTGTGCGCTTAGATGCTTAATTAGCATGACGACATTTCGCTAAATTTGTCTGCAAACTGTTTAAGGAATAGTGTGAACTTACATTATAACTTCAAACAAGATTCAAAAATTTTTCTTTATAATGATAACCAGTAAAATTAGTATTATACCCTTTGTTTATTTTATTTGCAATACTATTCCAAAATATGTTTCGATTTCTTTCATAATTATGGTACTCTATATTTCTATTTCTTCATTTTTTGATCAGAGTATGTGTTTGTGCATCTGTCCATTCTACCATTTTCAACCCGAGTTCAACCTGAGTTCAACCCTAGTTCAACCCATATTTATATTTTATTATATATTTATACATCCAGGCCACAGGACACTGTTGAATAATTACTAACAAACAATTATTGCACATGACAAATCAATTAACAATCGCATATTTTCTATATTGGGATTAGATCATTAATAACTTGTTAAGCAGGTATACTTATACAGGGTATAATGATAATTTTACATGCTATATTAAACCGGCCCCAGATTTACAAATTTGGGACTGGTTTGCAATGACTTTACTGCTTTAGATAAAACAAGTTTGGGAGATCTATTTCGGGTATTACAGGCATATGATTTAATTTTTCAGCAATAGGAATGTATGACACCTACCATTTGAGATCATCTCAGTCGAGATAAACAAATCCAAGATATGCAAATCCAAGGTATATGAAGTCAGTTAATTATACAAAATTTCAGATGTAATACCAATTCGAGTTTGGTTATAATGATTTTTTTGAGCAACATGAAATAGAAAATAGTATGAACTCTGGTTGAAGTTTGGTTATTTATTCTCATAATGAATATATAATAAAATATAAATATGGGTTGAACTAGGGTTGAACTCAGGTTGAACTCGGGTTGAAAATGGTAATAATTAAGAAAAAAAAATTGGGCAATTTTTTTTAAAATACCTCAGGAAAATATCAAGAAGGTTCATCAGTCTTATACCCTTAAAGAGAAAGCCAATGTTGTTCAGTATGCTTTTTGTGAAGGCAATCTTAGGGCCGCTGCCAAGTTTGATTTAGATAAGACTCAAGTTGGTCATTGAGTAACGAAGTTAAAGGGTAAACTTGATGAGGTTGATCATAGCAAATCCCGTCGTCTTGAAGGTGGTGGTAGAAAAAGTTTTTTTCCTGACAAAGAAGTGCAGCTTTATAGGTAGATATCTGAAATGCATAGTGCAGCACTTGCTATAACATACAATAATCTCAAGTTTGAAATATTAAGAATCGTCTCTGAAATGGTATCAAAAAGTAATGATCTCAAAAAAAAACAACTTGCAAGTAACTTCAAGACCTTCTCAATGTGGTTAAAATGTTTTTTAAAACGCTATAATCTTGTCTTACACCATAAAACAAAAATAGCACAAAAATTGCCTATTGATCTTGAGCAGCAATTGCTCAATTTTTAACAATATATAATTCAGTTACGCCTTAAGAGAAACTACCCCTTGAGCAACATCACAAACATGAACGAACCTCCTGTCTGGTTTGACATGGCTGGTGATCTGACTGTTGAACAAATTGGTCCATATACATACAACTTGTAATGAGAAGAATCGCTTTACTGTAGTTCTGACATGCTTTGCTAATGGACAAAAGCTTCTACCCACAGTTATATTCAAGGGTCAAAGATGGGCTAAGATTAAGGCTTCTCCTCCTCCTGGTGTAATTGTTTTTTTTCATGAAAAAGGTTGGATAGATGAACCTAGTATGTTGTCATGGGCCAATAACTATATAGAAGATCGTCCAGGTAGTCAGGAAAATGAACCCTCTCTTCTTGTCTTTGATTCATTCAGAGCACATATTACTGATGCAGTTAAAAAGAAGCTTCAAGAGAATAACAATGATCTTGTTATAATTCCCAGTGGGTTAACTTCTGTGTGCCAACCACTTGATGTTTCAATTAATCGCCCCTTCAAAGTAGTACTTTGTAACTACTGGCATAAATGGATGACAAATGGTGCCAAAACAATCCATATACGTACAACTGGTAATGAGAAGAATCGCTTTACTGTAGTTCTGACATGCTTT